ATGCGGCCGGTCGTAAAAAAAAACAAATAGCCAAAACTATTTACAACATGTTCTGTGGAAAAGAAGATGTTGTGCCGTTGTGACACATAACAATAAAGTGGGATCAGGGCAGGAAAAAAAATTATACATAGTATAATAATCTTAAAAAGTGATACCAAAGTTTCAAAATAGAACCTTTAATAAGTATTGTACATTAATGTTTCTACTATTCTGCTAATCAGTCTCATCCTATAAAAAGAATCAAAGATTTTTTTAAAGGGTGATTTAACAATATATTTTGTAAAACATTTTGCAACGCTGTATTTTAATTCGTATAAAAATATATATTTATGTTCCATCAATTATATTCAGTAATTGTTTAAAGCTCTTAAACTGAGTCAGCCTTTAGAGAGGTAGAAAATAATTTCCAGTTTTAATTTTATACTGAATGATGAAATTTTTAATCTATTTTATCAGTACAGCATTAGTTATCTATATAACTCTGATTACTAGGCAAGTTTGTTCGATATTTTTGTATGTCAATATTCATTTTACTGTAACACGCACGTTTGGCTGTCGTGAACAATACATCTGTGCCCTTCCAATGACTTTAATAATTAATTTGAACAAAAAAAAAACTAGTTAAGACCAAGGTTATGGTGAATAATGCACACGTGGACACTCGCGGTATGGCTGGTCCATAAATTAAAGGTCATTCAGCTAGCTCTGAAGCGTTTTATAATAGGAATTTATCTAGTAGACCGAATTCCAAAAACAGTCACACTCGAGAGAACTAAAATCATTCATGCTTTTCGCATAATTCAAAAGGTGAAATTGAAATGGATGGTCATATCCCCAGACGATCAGACGTTGGAGGAGAAATGTGTTAGAGTGAAGACTGTGTTAAGGAAAGATAATGTAGAACATCTTGCAGGCCGATGGACCGAAGACCTGAGGATATGCTGGTAGTACCAGGATGCGGGCTGTTCAGTACCGGAACAGTTACCACTTTAGGAGGTCAATACGTTCAGCAATAGACGTGGTTAAGCTAATTTGAAAATGGCTATGTAAAAAAATTAAAAATACTTTCGAAACGAGTCTGTTATAAACTTTTTAGGGCTTTGTAAAGTATTTAGTAGAAGTATTTGTCCTCAACATGAAAAGTATAATAGGTTTCGTAATTTAAAACCTTATCGCAAGCATCCCTTTATGTTTGTGGGTTAATTGAATTTGATAAATAAATTTTTATTGTAACATATTTGTAAACACAAAATGGTGATTTAATTGGAGTTATTTTTATCCAACAGATCTATAATATATTGTTTAACAAAATATATAAAATTGGCACCCTTATATGCTTTAGCATATAGGAAATGTGTTTAATTGGAGGTTAGATGTGAAAATTTTGTTTATTAAAAGTATATTTTTTCAATTTAATTACGTTGGTTGGTTATATCAAATTTACTAGTATATTGTGGTTATACAATTCGACGGTAAAACCTACGTATATGTGAATACAAAAATCTTCCTGGAAATGTAATTCTACAAACGTCATTACAATAACAAACGATAATATTTATGAAAGAATTTTTCGCCAGCGGAAAATGATACTAATTTATTACGGTTGGAGATTGTTATTTTTGGGTCTTAATAAATGGTCTCCATAATATTATTATAATTTTGTACTACAATATCAAATTGTGAAATAAAATATTTTAGATATTTTCGAGTACTCTTTGTATTCGTATTTTACTTGCTTATTTTATTGTTTTAAATTCGATCCAATATTTCGATTACTTTTCTACAACAATAGTCACGAGAACATGAGACAAAGATGTGTGTCGGTTAGCCTTGCTTTTTGTCATTTTATCCTGAGAACTAACATAATACGCGAATGAAATTAAAAAAAACTTTTATTTATGTAAACTTTAATTTGAACATCCATCCATCTTCAAAATATAATATATTTCTATAAGTTATGTCAATTATAGTAAATCAACTTTTTTATGAGTACAAGCGAAACCATGAGTTATTCTATAGTTTATGAAGTATTGAACATAAATAAGACAGGTAATATGTATATCAATTATACGCAAAAGGTATTTCTGGTCTCAACGTCAAAACAAGAAACAATAAATACATATTTTCTATGAAATATTATTTGTAATTCCATAGCCATTCTTCAAACAAAACATTAGAAACTTTACATATGCTAATATGACAATGCGTAGAATTTTAACGAAACGGGCTTCCTATCTAATGGGTACACTATTATGACCCATGTAGTAAAAATGTTTACAATAAATATTTTTTTCTAGCACATTTAGATAACAAAGTCGTTTGAATTTGGGTGTTCTGAATTATCACTATTGATTTAAATGACAACACACGAAATATTAGAGCGGTTGATGGTTTTGACCTATTCTTTGTGATTGTTATATATTATAATATAGCTTATTATAAATCATTTAAATGGTAATAAGAGCAAAGTAATAGACATTCCCGAAACAATATATAATTTCATACTTTAAATGAAATATATTATCAACATTGGTTAAAACGACATAATTTAGAAGTGTGCCAATTGATCGTAATAATATATAAATATAAAAAAAATATTATGTTTTAATAACCTAAACTCTTACTATATATTTTAATAAAATAATATCGCACTAAATTTCGAAATCTTAAATATTTATCTTAGAGCAGTTGAATTTTATAGCAAAAATAATATATTAACGATTCCTATTTTTATTCTTTTTTATATTAATTCTTACCTACGAAGAAACTATCAAGTAAAAAGTCTTTCACAACACAGAACACAAAATATCCTTTGTTCCACCAACACTTAAATGAACAAATTACTCAATAACAGTTATGAATACACTTCTTTTAATTCATATCCATGTATTTAAATTACGAGTAACGCTTCACGCCGCTTATTACGCGTTCTTGCTTCGTGAACGTCCGAAGTAGACTGCGGCAAGGTGCGGGACGCTTCCATGCTAACTCCCGCCCGCCCAAGGTGGATCAACACGCTACCCGTCATTGCTTCCTTGCTATCTTTATGTTTTTAACGATCCAAATTCTGTTATAATAAGATACTACATTTGTAATGAAACGATGTTTTTTTTTAATATCTGGTATTTAAACAATAAAAATTTCAACAGCGGTATTGTCTGATATGATCTTTTTTATGGTTAAATTATACACATACCTATCATAAAAATATGATATCCACATAGGTCATCGTTAGTTGGTTGACATGATGTAATGGTCAGTTATTACTTGTTTACTGAATATGTGATTAAAAGTTGTAAGGAAACAAAAGGTTAACTCTATTCTAAATCTAAAGGGGTTATTAGGGATGGGGTTAATATATTTTTTGTTCCTACCATAATTGTGTGAAGAAGAATAATAAGAAGAATAAGAATCTATATTGTGATGAAGATATTGCGTATCGTTTTTAAAATAAGTATACATTTTTTTATTAAAACATCCATATTGTAATCCTCTTTTATTTATTTTTTATAAGAGTATAAAGAAAAAAAATCCCATTGATTTGTGCTAATATTTGAGCTCAAGATAAATAAAAGTTTCCTGTCATTAAAATAAGGTGTTATACAGATATTGTGAGTTTTACTTAATAACAGAGAAACAAGCAAACACGTAAACATTTAAGTATTTATTAATTCACCACATTTCGAAACAATTAATTTGGCCAACAGGCAGTCTCAAATATTTTTGCTCTTTACAGGAATTCCAAACCCAAACGTTAACCAAATGAAGGCTTGTGTATTTATTTTTAAACGCAAAAGAGTTTGAGAAAAAAGTGCCGCAGTTTACGATTTGATTTAATCACACCAACAACGAGCATTGAGAAAATTTGGAATTTATACTTATCCGTTATACTTATAATTCTTTATGACCCTAGTACAACTGATAAGACACTATTCCGAGGGCAAATTTCTTCATAAAAGTTATTGGGGACTGTTTAACTTATATACATCATAGACTGCAATTTCTTTAAATCTAGGAAAATAATAATGACATATCAATATGTGAAGTATTACAGTAAATTTTTGTAATCCACTGGTGTTTTATATAAACGTTAGACCGCATATTTTAACAGATGATCGCCGTTTTAGAAGAGATGCGATTTGCCTACCTATACTTTTCCAACTATATATTTTTTTGAGATTTGCAAATACTTTTTTCAATGAAATATTTTTGTTTATTGCATTCCCTATTTGTGATAAGTTTTTAGCAATAGAATCAATGAAATAAGATACTGTAAAATAGTAAAAGTTTACATACTGAAAATTCAAACTTGATTGATTTAAAACATAATAAAAAATATTTCCTTTGCTTTTACCTTTAATGCGCTAATTTTATATGAAAGAACCTAACCGTACTATTATTGGAATAGAATAAAAAACCTACAATTGTGAATACTGTAGTAAAGACAAACCTTTGTAAAGCCAAGTCAATTGATCGTTTGTTTGTAAATGATTAATGTGTATACATTCATCAACGTCAATATAAAATTAGTTTTATTCATTGTCAACATATTTTTTATTATCATTTCTGTCTCGTTAGTATCATATACCTCAAAAGAGACATAAACCTCACATACTGCTTGTATATGAGATTTTCTTCAAATATTAAACAAATAAATATATGTTAAATTGATGCCTTGTTTATAATTATTTTATATTTCAATAGATACATCGGTTGTGACTGATTTTGCGTCGTATATCTTGATCGGTATCAATCGGTTGGTACTTATGTACTTATGTACCAACCGATTGATACCTATTGGTATAAACCAATATATAAAATAAATAGCTGAAATAACCTGTTTTTAACTTTTAGTTTTTTTATATTCTTAACATTACCTATTCCGGTAAAATTATATTTGCTTTTACATACGTGGAATATTTCTATTCATACATACGAGGGGTGATCAATAAGTAATGATAATCAATATGAAACAGAACTATTAGATTAAAAAAAGTATTTTATTTTTCAACATAGTCTCCTAACAAGTTAATACATTTAGTGTATCTTTTTTCTAAGCCCATGATTCCCTTAGAAAAAAATTCTTTGTCTTGACCCTCCAAAAATGCCTCTACTGCGGCCATCACTTCACTATTGTCCTCAAATTTGTTGCCCCGGAGATGTACTTTGAGCCGAGGTAAGAGGTAGAAGTCACTGGGAGCTAGATCTGGCGAATAGGGAGGGTGTTCGAGCAGTTCGAACTCCATTTCTTCAATGGCAGCCATCGCAACTGCGGCTTTGTGAGCCGGGGCGTTGTCTTGGTGAAACAGCACTCTAGCGCGCAGTTTACCGCGTCTTTTTGACTTAATAGCCTCTCACAATCTTCTTATTTGGTCTGCGTAGTAAGAGCCTGTTATAGTGGCCCCCTTTTCCAAATATTCCACCATAATAATTCCTTCTGCATCCCAGAAAACAGACGCCATAACCTTTCCCGCTGAACTTGACACTTTGAATTTCTTCAGCGTTGGTGAGGAAGCTCGTTTCCAAGTCATTGATTGTTGTTTGGTTTCGGGATCAAAGTGGTGGATTCAGGTCTCGTCCATGGTCACAAAACGCGACAAAAAATTTTCCTTATCGGCCTGGAACTTTTGAAGATTCACCCTCGAAATGTCGACTCGTTTCTTTTTTGCTCGTCGGTTAACATTCTCGGCACCCAACGCGCAGAGACCTTTTTCATATGCATTTCGTTGACAATGATTTTTTGAACGCTGCCATAGGAGATCCCTGTGACCTCAGCTACATGCCTTACGGTCACCTTTCGATCGGCCAACACGATATCTTCCACTTTTTTTACGTTTTCTCCAGTAAGGGACGTGGAAGGGCGTCCTTCGCGATGTTCATCTTCAGTGGAGGTTCTGCCCAGCTTAAATTCCTTTGCCCAGCGTGCGACTGTGGAATATGGAGGAGCAGACTCCCCCAATGTTTCCTCTAAGTCGCTGTGTATGTCTTTGGTAGACATTTTTTTCAGGCAGAGGTACTTGATGACAGCTCTTATTTCATTTTTCTCCATTTGGATGTTTTCTCTTCGACAGTTCGTATTCAAATGAATGTATCTTCCGGTAATGGTGTCCTATTTATAAAATTTTTTGAAGCTGAACTAGTGGATAAATAAGCAAGCAGAAAAAAAATAATTTGGGGTTTTATGCGTTCTAGAAATACTCGATTATCATTACTTATTGATCACCCCTCGTATACTTTTGTATTTACCTCAAAAGCTTAGTCAACTGAAATCTTTAGTCACTGATTTTTAGCAATAATTCTCCAATTGTTTAACTTGATTCTTTCGTTTCCTATTTGCTTTAAATATGTTAAATTCTTTTAGACCAATAAAACCTATGTACATTTATTTATTTAATAAATTATATAATTCATCATTCGACTGGAAGCTGTAGCAGAATTTTTTGTTTAGAAAATAGCATGAAATCGTCAGTAATAATCATAGTTGTTAGAAAAAAGCTTGGTTAAATATAGGTTAAGGAGCTTTTCTGACTTAGCCTCCCTGATCTTTGAAATATATATAAACACATTATGAAACCAATATAATTTCTTATATCCTGAATGAATATGAACCTATAATAACACACAAAATGAATTGATTGTTTTGATACCTATTAAAACATAACATATGTATGTTGTTAAAATTTCGTAACAAAAAGAGAATAAGGCATCTCTGATTCCTTAAATTTCGTTATATTAAACTTAAAAAAAACATTCAACACATTTATAAGTTGTAGATTCGAAGTCTCATACTGTTGTGCTTAAAAGAGTATTTAACCGCTGGCCACTTTACAAAAAGTAATTAATGGTTGGCGTATTCTTAACATCGCAGCTAATGGTGCAAACAATCAACCATTATTTATCAAGGGTTCCTCAACCGGGCGGTAATTGCAATTCTTTAGCATAAAGAAACATTATCGAGGATAAATTTTGACTTCCCCTCCAGTGACCTCTGAATTATTTATGGAGTAAACCTCTTAACTTTGTATCCCTCGGATGCCCGGATTTTTGGATTATACAATTTTATTTATTGATTTTACAATAAATAAACCGGTTCATGGTAATTCTTATAAAAACTTGAGTTTCGTTTTCTTAAAATATTATTGCTAACGGTATGAGAAGTAACGGTGAAAAGGGTCACATTTTTAAAATAACTTTTATTTGTATACCGTTTATTTCTCTTTTATTAAAACTTATGTATATTATTTTGTCTCGCTGAATTGTAAAGAAAATTATTCCCACGCTATGCCATTTTTAGAAAATTATTAGATAGTGTAAGTAATGTAACAAAAAGTTGTGTAAATATCATATCTGAAATGGTATAAGCAACTAGTTTTTTCTTAATATAGAGCCGACTAAGGTAAGTTATCAATTGTGCAATGACATTCGTTATAGGACTAACAAGGCGACGCATGAGTTAGGTCCAATCAATACTGACGTAGTCCCTAGTATTTTGTAATAAGATTGACTGTTGTTGACAAATCGTTGATTTTTAACTAAATGTCACAGAACCGGTCTTAAGTTATTGTCGGGATTTAAAATGTTCTGTTTGAACTTTAAATAATTAGAAACATTTACATGTTTATTCGTTTATTATTTTATGAAGTAAGTAAATTAACATTTTAATGAATTTTAAATATACTACATAATTACATCTTATATATTCTTACATAAATAAAAAAATATAATTTGTTTTTCTTTGTTATTATTCGTTACTTAATATCTTAAGAAATAAAAAGATATTGAATTCTTCTTTTTGTGATTGTAATATTAAGTAACTCGATAAAATGAATTATATATAATAGAAAAGACAGTTATCCCAAACCGAAAGGTCTTCTTTGATCGCTATCAATGAAATATCACGAATAAGGCATTATGCAGACGACTTTGATGATTTTACTGTTGCTGTAATGTGATGTTAAACAATAATTTACGATTGCAAAAAGTAATTAAACTAATTATTTCCATCTCTGTTGTCGAATTTTCTTCATCTTTACACCCTTTTAAACTTTCATTAACATACATAAGAATGCCATAACAACTTTACAGCGATGGGTAATAATTATAATAGCAATTACATATGGCTCAGTCCATCCATCCATCATAGCAATCAAGCATCAAAAATACAAGCTCAGTTGGCTTATTCAGATGCTTCAAATGATCTCTAGATTCAAATCCTTAGAAATTATGGAATTATTAATTTTAAAGGTAATTTTCTCTACTGAGCCATACCCGGTCATTTCACCAATAAAACAAACCATCTGTGTTTTTAACCCCTTTTTCGCCAACGAATCTAATCTGTGGTAATCGCTTCTTACTATAATATTGATGACAAATATTGAAGCAAGATTATCTGCAATATATAAAAATGAAAAATAATTTTGAAAGGAATGAAAGGCATTAAATATATATCTTTTTTTTATACTGTAATCAAATATTGTATTAAATATCAATGTACATATGAGTAATGTTTTTTTTTCTAAATTATAATATTTTATGATGAATAATTCATTTATTCCTTGTTATCCAACTCGTTATTTAAAATGACTAACAGATTTACTTATTTTATATATTCAATTAACGAGGTCGCTCTTATAAAATTGAGCACTATCTAAGTTCAGTTAAATTATCATTACCTTAGGTAATGACTACTACGACGCTCAATTCCACATATGTAGATCTCATAACTATGATCAGTTCGTCGGTCCATCTCATGTTAGCTCAACCTGGCTGTACTTAGGAGTATGTGCTCACCACTTGAGGCCATTTAGACTCTTTCGAGACTATCCTTAATCTAGCCTACCTTAGCTTGCACTTATAACTTCTAAACTACACATAATATATCTTTGTTATATTACTTAAATGCTGGTATTATAAAATGAGACAAGGCAAATTTTATTTTTTTGCTTACAAATATTTTTATTAAAAGCTGTCAGAACTTATGAAGTAAGTCATTATTTTAAAGAAGTATATGAAGGAAAATGTTACTCAAAAGAATCTTTAATAACACACACATAAGTATCGAAGCACCTTCTACGTTTATCAATCTCAGAATTTGGAAGAAAAGGGCAACAAAAATTAAGTTTTATTGTTTTTAATATGATTGTATCAAAATAAAGGCGTAAAAATTTTATTTAGATTTGGAGGAATTGGATTTAATATACATAAAATGAAAAGTTCATAATAACACGATGTTAGTCTAAACCTAATTGTCTGGATTACATAAATTTTGTTATCTAGGAAACAATTTAGTTATACACGAAATGGAAAATCTTGTGTTGATGACGTTGGAAACACACACATTCATGCGCATAATGAAGAATTCTTTGTACCCGTTCCGTCGTTTGCATATAAATACTGCTATTACTGACGACTGTCACAATATCATGAATAATATATATGTGTTAGTTAAATTGATTCAAAAAGTAATTAGTTCCAATATATAACGAATTATTCCGTCCTTGTTATTAGAAGAAAGATGTCTTCAAACTGTAACCGAAAATTTCAGTAAAAAATTGAAATTGTATTTAAAGTTACTGCTATTTCATTTTCAACTTACTTAAAGTTTGCATAGTATCATATTAATTTCAATTTCAACAAAGCAATTACTTCGGACCAACAATAAAATTGACTATAAATTTATAAGGTTTTAATGAATTTTAGTTCTAGTGAATTAAGTAGGTAATGAATATTGTTGAAAAATATAACGTTCTGTGAGAAATGAAGAAAAACTGGTAACTCCGATTTCTGCTGATAGAACTGTTCGCACAATGGAACTTAGTTTGAATATCAAAGGCTGTCGTACAAAAGCTTGAGTTCTGAAAGTAATTAGTGGCAAAGCAAACACAATAGAATTCAGACAGTCTAAAACCATCTTAATATATTATTAAATATTCACACAGCTTCTATAAATGATATAAGAGAACCAATTAATTATTGTTGTGTTATCTTCTCACTTATATCTTAAATTTAAATGCTTGTATAAATTTTAAATCTACATCAGTATAAAACTATTAAAAAAATATCAATTAAACTTAATTTTAAATGAGAATCTGATATAACTTAGATAATAGTTATCAATATATTTTTCAATCTTTGCATCTTGTTTTGCATCTTGTTATAAATCAGATTCAGATGAAATATAAAAAAAATATTATTATACCAAGTGCAGAAAAATACAAGTGCCTTATTTTTGGTTTCAATTCATACTAAGACTATCTATCATATGACACGACTTATTAATAGCATACAAAAGGAGCACTTTGTAGGATTTTCGAATATACTTTGTTTCGGAATGATGTATCAGAGTACCTATTGAGAAATTACGCATTATTAGATTTCCCTTAAATTAAAGTACTAAAATTAAAAGAGCGTTTAAGATACCGACCTGGATTACGATAATTAAGGATTATGAAACATATATTTGGCAAATAATTGTATATATATATTTTGTCAAGCACAGAAGTCATCTCAAAAGTTATTACTTATATGTATTTATCCAAAGAAGAAATTCCTTAGAATAAAGTAAGTGTGATCCTAGATTGACAGAATAATTACAAGTATAAGAATAAAATATAAAAAGTAAAAACTGTATATTTTATATAACTATTAGGTAAAGTCATTTATAATTACGTTTTATGGCCGTCTATTGAAACTGACTTATAAATCTTAATCTTATCATGTTCAATCTTTGTTATCAGAGCGTTATGTGATGTTGAAACAAATATTTACCGAATGATAATTTGTTATTGAAAAGATGTAGAAACATGACAGACACCTTCAAACGTCTAATGAAAGAGTTTAAGACATAAATAAAATTACCTTTTTTTCAACAATACTCTCAATAGTTATAATGTCCATGTCTCGTCTTTAAAGGTTAATCAATAAAATGCAATAGTTTTTAAAATTGTATTTTTTTAGTTTATGTACCCGTATAACATTCATTTCAAGCAAGGTTTATCTGTAACTTCTGAGATGTTTTTTATATTTATAGAAATAAAGAGCAGCTGGGAA